CAGCGAGCTCCTGTTGTAGCTTCCGATCAAAATGTGCTAACTTCCGGTCCTACTGGAAGGGAAAGTCGATGGAGGAGCGAAGCCGAACAGCTCTGAAGGAGCAGGAGGAGTGACAAGCTCCCGTTGTTGATCCCGATCAAAATGTCGTGACTTCCGATCGGGTGGGAAGGAGAGTCGTCCAAGGGAGCAAAGTCGATCGGCCACGAGGAGTCGAAGAAGCGACGTCGACCAGCCGCGGAAGTGCCGAAGAAGCACGTGAATAGGAGAAAGTTGCCTCTACAGCGAGCGAACTCCTGTTCTTTAATTCCGATCAAGATGTCGTAACTTCCGTTCCGACTGGAAGGGGCAGTCGTCGAAGGAGCGAAGTCCAACGGCAACGAAGGAGTGGAGGAAGCAGCGAGAGCGGGAGAGTCAGCAAGCGGAGGTTCGGAAGAGAAGAGGAGACGGGATCGGGAGAGGATGGAGAGTTGTGTGGTTGAAGCCTTCAGTTGATGCAGTATTTAACGACATAGCAGATCGTTCAATCGAGGCAGGTTCACGGGAATAACGGAGGAAGCGACCATTTCGGCGTCGGATTCAGAGATTTTAGCGCGATTTCAGCAGAAAAATCAGCCTGATTCCGGGGACTCAACGGATATGAGTTTTAATCCTTCTCCCTTTCTTTTTGTCTTTTGGATAACACATTGAGGTCAACACCTCTATTGAGTAGTTGGACCTTCATGTTGTACTAAATGATTTTTTGCTTATATTTTTGTGGTTGTACTAGACATTTTTGTACTAAACATCTTTATGTTATAAGCTAAATAAGTTATCATGACTTTGATTTATTATTGCTTGCCATTTTTAATATAATGATATCTTAATTTTTATATATTATATTAAAATTTTATTATGTCGTGTCCACGCCGCACCCGTGTCCTATATTTTTAAAAAATGCCGTGTCTCGTGTCCGTGTCGCCGTGTCAGTGTTGGTGCATCATAGGAATCTACACATGCATATTCATCAGTAGTATATTGTCACTGTCTTAATCTTTATTTATATCTTAGTCTTAAAATCAATATCGTAAAAGTACATGTACACATGTATAATTAATCACACTAATCATACTAAACAAATAAGAAATTCTAGCTTATTTGGTTTTTTTTTCAATGATCATATGTGTATCATGTTCATTTCAATATCTTAATCTTTAATTTAATATTCAAATAGTTTTATTGAATAGTCATCATTATTGCCCGTCAACATCTTAAACTCCTTATAACTCTCACTCTTGATCTTGAGTTTATCGAGGATATCACCACAAACACTATTGTTAAGGAAGTTCGTCGGCCCACCCTCATGTATAGAGTAAATCAATCCCCAACAAACCTCTCTTAATCATGGTTTAAAATTGCGCAATATGAGGCTCGCCTTGAGGCCCTCCTTTGCGCAATTCCAGTAAAAAATGCCTCGATGCTTACGCCTCGAGTTTTTTTATGAGGCTTGCACCTCAACTTGGTTGAGGCCCGCCTTGCCTCACTGGCATGAGGCTTACGCCTCACGCTATATATATTAAAACTTACATAAATCTTGAAGTAAATACCTGACATTAGACTCTATAGGAGAGGAGGAAGGGGAGAGAGCAGTTCACCATAATGATGATTCAAATGAAGAACCCCTTAGTGATGACAGTGCTGATAACTTATGAGTTCTTATGTGATATGTCATTGTTATTTATTTTTGGAAATCCGAATTATATGTTAATGAAAAGAATACTGGGATTTCAGAAAGATGGAACTTTGAGTTGAACTATATTTCATGTTGTCTTATTATTGAGATATTTTAATTTCACTTCATATCTTATGCTTTTTTATGTTTTATATTATTCATTCATTAGTATATAACAAATTTATCATTTTATGTTTACGCAATCTTTTGATTTTGAGACTTACGCCTCAAAACGCCTTGAGGCTTACGCCTCACCTCACGAATGAAAAACGCCTCAATACCCGAATACGCAATTTTAAACATTGCTCTTAATAACCGAACTTTCTTGTTTTCACACAATATAGGAACATATATGATTAATAACAATTAGCAATTATTCATTCATCAGTATTCATCCACAATATTTGCCTCACCAGTATGCTCATAGCAAAATGCCAAAATAATGCTCATGTTAGAAATGCTGAAATCACTATATATTTTATTCCTACTCAAAACGTAAGAAATCCAAAAAATATAGTTTTAACTAGTGAAAATATGAAATTATCCATTCAAAATTGAATGTAACCAAGTTACTATCCTTCTATAGAAAAAGTTTAACTAGCAAGTTTTTAATATAGCATATCAAAAGTTAAGAACAAGAGTTCGTAGTTCTTGCTTTACAAAATAAAAAAACTTTGGAAACACTTCACAAGTTATTTACAAACATCTGATTATATATCAAATTTACAAAAAATAAATAATTTTTTAAATATTAATGCCTAAAACTGGCTCAGATGAGATGGACATTGTTAAAGCTATTCTCGAAAGCTGTAGATGGACTTGGGTGGGAGATGAGTTTTCAATTGTTAGTGAGGTTGTTATTCATGGTTAGTTTCATTTGGCTCCCAACACGCGTGTTATTCCTGTTAATTTAGCCGTATTAAGAGATCTGCTTTTGGAACTTGTTGATGTTAAAAGCACTAAAAAAGAATGTCCATGGGTACTGACACAGATATATGGTTGACCATCACTCTGCATCCCTAAGATTTTTATGATGCCAACGTGGAGACAGAGCAGCAAAAGCATACAATTAGCCATCACTATACAGAGCAATGACTCATGCACTGTAGCAATTCAATCTCACATGGCGACTCGCACATGTTTTTCAAATAAAATAATGATAATAATGGGTCTAATTCAAAGGTGTTCTTGTATAACCATTTAACTTTATCCTAACTCGAAAACCTTAGAATTTTTCATGTGGCTTTTTCTATTTTTTTAAGATTTCTTTGCCCTCGCTGCTAGCTCCTTAGCTTTTTAGATAATAGCCTGTAGAACTGCTTGTGACTAAAATTTCATGCAAAGGTATGACTATGAGTCATATTATCCACACCTCTTCCTTCAAGTCTCCTATTATTTATGATTTTCCTCTTCACCAAAAGGCCAAAGTCTAAAGCATAGCCTGCACCACTGCTATTTAAAGATATGACCTTTTTATCTAATCGTAGTTAAAATTGAACTTATTTTATTGTATTAGTATCACACATTGTTATTAATATTTTCTTTAATGTGCACAGATCTTCTCAAAACTTTATGGTGCTGTAAAAGTGATTTCTTAATATTAAAAAAACAAGGGATCGATTAGCTGCTATAAGTGTAATTCAATGAAAATGAATTAAAGCACGGGCTTTGTTTGCTATTTAAGATTCAGAACAGAATACCATTTGCACTTCACAAGTTTACAATACTAGATCTCCGTCAAAAAAAAAAAAAAATAGAAAATCACTACCATCTACCTGCATTTGAAATTTAAACCTTTGAAATTGCTTGTTTATCATATAACACCCTCAAAAAGTTCAATTTGATTTTAATAAGCATACATCATGAAAAACCTGAATTACTTCCACTATCTAGATCCTGCAAAGATGCTTTGTATATTCGCTTAACAAACAGCCGATTGAACAAAAATGTTTATAAGTTTTGATAGTTTATATTGCCATCTAAACCATCAAAAGATGCCAAGTATATATGCTTAGTGACCACGGCTTATTAAATATGCAGGTCAAAAAATTGGATATACTAACATTTAACAGTGTATAGAAGGAAAAATAGGTTTATTAATTATTTAGATGTTTCAGTTACGAAAAAAAATGACAAAAAACAAACTTGCTTCGAGTTTTTTCTTATCCATGCAAAGGATAATAATTCTAGATTTCAATATCCATAGATTCCTCTGCAGCACAGGGTTGAGCGATTCTTAAACTGGTATCGTTATAATGGTTCTAAATATGGAACAGGAACTGGAATTTGGAATGACACACACCTGCGAAGTATGCTATACAGTTCAGGTCTTGCTCTCATCCAGTCTGAAAATGTATTTCTCTCAGATGAAATTGCATGAAGAACTGCTCTTTCTGTATGGATGTAAACAGCAAAGCAGATAAGGAAGTAATATCTTTCCAAGTATTCAACAAAGAAGGAAAGTGAGGCTTCCCTCTTCTTTTCATCAGGCTGACGAAGTATGTTGTTACGATAATTGCCGATAGCTTCTCTCAAATTCTGTAGAATGAAAGAAACAAAAGCTTTAGGGAGAGGAAGAAAATCTAGTTCAGATAAAATGATATTTTCCAGAGGTTGAAGTTAATTGTGTAGTTTTTGGGCCTGATAATGCGGCTCAACAGGGAAGAAATTGTCACATATTTCAAACGTTTAAATAGTTTCCACAAACAACTTTTGGACTATACCTGCATGGCGTCACACTTATCAATAACTTTATCCACCTGCCTTTTTCCCTCTAATCCGCCCTAAAGAAAAGAAATCAAACCAAATGGTGGATCTCTACGAATTTTTACCAGCTATCAAGGGCAAAGTAAAAAACAAGCTATCTGACCTCCAGTACACGAATTAGGCTTCTAATAACAGGGTATTCACCTCTCCGAGCAGCGTCCTCAGAATTAGGCATATTATCAGAGACATCTAATCCATTATTGTAGATTTTTCCAATGGAATGTGTCCTTGGAATGCCTACAAGCAATAAATGCAAATAATATATGAATGTATAAGAAAGAGCGACCATAGGAATGGCGTGCAGATTTGGCAATGTATGATCATAACAAAGTGCATTGGATGCTCAGTTGTAAAGTCTCATAGGAGTGAGGTGCAGATTTGAAATAAAAGTAACTCACATATATCCTTAAAAAATGATGGTATAAATGCTGCAAGTAATTTTCTCACCAGATGCTCCAATACGATTAAGGTAAACCAGAGTAGCTATCACCATCCCTGTCGTAGTTCTTCCCCTACCCATTTGACAATTGAAAATATATTCAGTATCATTTTCCACTTGAGAAATCCGATGCACCTGATATGAATAAAGCAACAGTTATTCGACAGATTAGCACCAAAGCAAAAGGAAAAAAAATAATCCAGCATGGACATAACTCAGCATGTAGATTCAGGGATGACAAAAAATCAAGTTCATGCTAAAAAAAGATGGCCTGTGAAATCGGGACAGATGACTAACCAAATCATCAAAGTCTCGCTCTTTAGGGGATTTTTCATCTGTTATAGGAACCCGCTCATAATCAACAAGGAAACCTTCCATCTGTAACTCTTGATAAACCTATCAAATAAAACAAATCATGAACTTTATGATGATCATATATAAGCGGCCAACATTACTGCATGAAAAGTCAGGTTATTCGGACCTCCAAGGGAGTCTTAACATAATCCCGTGTCACTGGCTCCCACAGGTCCACCATCTGACCATCTGGCAGTTCGTCGGTTACAAGGATTTTACTCCCGTATCTTCAATTAACAGTTCAAATATCAATTTACCGCTTCCAAAAATTTTAAAAAAACAAAATTATATATATATATATATATATATATATAGAAGCATACCGGGCTGCTTCTATAAGGATATCTTCTTTTAAGCGAGATTCCATTTGTTCAACTCTAACACTGTTTATTCCCTATGAGAAATGGGAAAGAGGATGAGAATATCAAGGTTGTACAAAAGTTCTAACAAACTTAAATAAAACAGCTGTTAGAATGATAGAATCTAAAGAGATTTTGTAAATAAAAGGGAGAAACATTCATCCAAATCTAAGAAAAAGGTGAAAAATGTACTGCTTCATCCAAATCACTCACAGCCTAGGAAAGGAAACTACTTAAAGCATACCCAGATTAAAATTTATAAACACTACATGCTGAAATGGGATGCTATAAAATGATAAGTCATGTATAAGTTATGAACATCTAAATGTTTATGAAAAGTAAATGAGACAAGTCATTTATGGGGAATAGGCCCACATAAATAAAAGCAAAAGACCTAACAAGATAAGCCTTAGAGAAGTCATGCAAAAGATACCCTACTCTCTCTCACCTCTAAAAGTTGGGAATTCAGATTCACCCATGAATAAGAGAGTTGCCTTAATTCTAAAAGTTGGGAATGTGAACCCAACCTTGAATTAGAGAGCTATAAGTGTGCAAAGTATAGAGTTATCATATGATTTGCCGAAAGTATTGGGAAGTAAACATAACAAGAAATATGGAAAAAAATAAACACAAAGTAATTAGCATTGTTATGCATTGATTTCTTACAATTCATAATTTTTATAGAGATCCCAAGATTATTTAAAATTGAAAACAAATATTATGATTCTTATTTCTTATATTATGCAAGTGTATTTTATTGAGTTTTAACTCATTAGCAGTGGTTGTATTGCAAGAAATAGGAAATAGCCCATGGGACTCTATGCAGGAAATTGACTGCACTTTTGTGTACATATGTTTTGATAGTGTATAGAAGCTAGAATAAGAGGTTGTACAGATACATTTTTTTGCATATAACTTTATTAAAAAATTTAGTGTAAAGCTCTGTATTTCTTTGATGTATCATTCATATGCTTCCAAAAATGAAATTAGTAGATAAATTGTTAAAACTAAAAAGTGCTTTGTAATGTGATAGTCTTGATAGGTTATTTCCTACTCGTCTAATTCTGATAGAAATATTTCAGGATGGTGTTAAAAAGAAATATGTTTATTCTGATTTTACTTCTCTGTTATACTCTAGGTTGACTAAAGGGGGTCAAAATGATGTGTGACATTCCACCCACCTTAATGCAAAGGAGGGGATGGCTAGGAGAGAATTTCAAATTAGGAGGGTTGTTGTTGACCTCTGTATAATACCCAATGGAAGTAAAAATGAAATCGTACCTCTGCTATAAATCTTCTGCCAAATCCCTGATATCCTGCTGGCTGAAACCTCAGACTGCCGAACCATTCAAATCTCGCAAATCCAGCCGACGTTCGCGTCACTTCTCCGTGTTTCCTGCCCAAATCCCGTTCCAGCTGGATGCTCCTCTCGTCTTTAAAAGCCAGATGAAACGAGGCTTCAGCTCTACACATACGACTGCTTCCACACTCGTTTCCCTCCGTCTCTGCTTCGCGCTTCCAGCAACCCGGCGCTAGAGCTGCAGAATCCCTTCCATTCCGTCGCTCCCTACTGCTCTCCACGCTCGACTCCACACAACCTCCTCTCCCACAGCAGCTGCTTCCCGATCTCCTCCCTATCCGACGCCTCCTCTGGCCTTAGACCAAGTCGACGCCAGCTCCTTGGTCAGCCGAACCCGACCTCTCTTCCCCGATCCCTTTGCCTCCTTCGACGACATCTACCTCTGTCGACTCCCCACACAAGTAGAGAGAGAGAGAGAGAGAGAGGAGAGCACCTCTTGCCCTTGCCGAAACCAGGCCGATCCCTCTCTGCCTTGGCCTCAAGCTCCACCCTGATCTCCTATGTCTTTGCCGCAAGAAGCTCCTACCTGGTCGAACATCCCGTAGCCGACGATCCCTTCTTTAGGATCGGAAGTTATTCCATTTTGATCGAGAGCAAGCACAGGAGCTTTTTGCTGTGAAGGTAGCAATCTCCTTTTCGCATGCAACTTCGGCCAAATCCTGTAAATCTCCCAAACCGAGAGTGATGGGGGAGGGAAGTTTTATTTTATTTTATTTTATAGTTATTATTATATTATCAGCCGGACAAAAGAGCTAAATGCCTAGTCGAAAATATTACTAGGATCCATTCTCAAACAATCTCTTGCCAGTAAGGACGTGGTACGTGTCCTCTGACCGACGGTTTTGTCACCAAATTGCACCGCAGGATAAATGGTTATGGCTCGGTGCCCTCTGAACCGAGTGGTTTTACCACCAAATGGCACTCCTAAATTATGATTATGGCCAAGGCCAATACATTCCTTAACGCATCAAATCTTTGAGATATGAATCAATATGATTTGATTGATAGGGCACAAAGCCCTCTGTAAGCTAGGGTGGATTTAAATTTGTCCCCTTAGACAAATATTCAACCCCGGTCTACAAGGTACCCTTGGACGAGGCAACCCATGGCTGCCGACAAAGATCTTTCTGTCAGGTTGGGTCGAATACCTCCTCTGACTAAGTAGACCAGGGACCACGATGGCCCGGGACGACGGAACCATGGGATCTTGATCGGGTCTATCATCCATTCCCCCACCATCCGCTTTTAGTGCAAGATGATGAAATTTCTTATTTTAAATATCAAACTTTTCAAATCTTTTCAAATATCCAAATCCAAATCTATTTCTCCAAATCTCAATACCTATGCTGTTACTATATGTCAGATAACACGTATATTCTACGTATCTGATTGACGACTAGCCTTAATCGAAAGTTCTCTCTCGTGATCGGGAGGGGTAATTAACTATAGGGGCTTGCGCCTATAGGAAACCAGAACTCAGATCATAAAGTCCTCACAAAATGAGGGCGAAATCTCTGGGTAGTGTCTTATCTACAAACCCATCTGCCTTCCAAAATTTACCTCGGAACTTAGTTCATTAAAACTCCCTCGCCGAATAAGAAAAGCGAGTAGAGGTCGAGGCCGAATTTTCGGAGCCCACAGTTGTTTTGAGAATTACTATATCAGGGTATGCTTTAAGTAGTTTCCTTTCCTAGGGTAGGTTTATTTCTTGTTTGTTGAATTTAGATTCTTCTTAGGTTGATTTGGCTCTAGATGACAGCTAAGGGTTTAGGAGAGCTGGATCTTAGATTGTTTGTTGATTTGGCTTTAGATTCTTCTTTGTAATGCTCATTTAAATCTAAAAAATATCATTTTTAAAATTTTAAAACCAAGTATTTTTAGGTCTACATCTATACATCTCTTAACATAGACCAAATCCATGGGCGAAGGGAAGGGGGAGCAAGGAGGGGCACATGCCCCCCCCCCCCTTAAAAAAATGTATAGGGAATTTAGAGAGAGGCTAAGTTGAAAACTTCATAAATTAAATCGAAGACCATCTGAACTCCGATTTCAGCAAACTTATAGCCAAACTAAACGTATCAAAAATACAAACCCAACGGCACCAAATTCGACTTAATCCGAACCCAAATGACTCCAAATCAAAGACCCGAAGCACATTTGGAAGGTTTAAATCATAATTTGGTTTACCAAATGGTTTACAAACATAACATGCTTATAGTTGAATTGAGCGGCTAGACGAGACGAATCCAACGAGCTCAAGATAGTCAAATTCTGAAATCACTAAGCCATTTAAATGCCCAATAAACGACCCACGATCAAGCGATTCAATATTGGTCGTCGATTCAAATCACTCCCAATTTAATTTCCTATTCATTCACATTTTTTTTCTTGGTTGATATTAGCTTAATCCTATATTGATTTGATCTTAAAGAAATTTTATGAATTTTTTTGTGCAATGAGATTTTTAATATCACGTATTTAGTTAATATATTGAACCTGTTCTAACAGAAATCAAGTGATTTGATGATTGGAAGTCATTTTGTGAAGGAAAAAAAATAAACTAATTCACTATCAAAGTTTTATCATTTTTAAAACTGATTATATTGGTCACAAGCCTGGATGTAAAAAGTTGAAGGAAAATTTTTAAAAAAAATTAATTTAGGCCCCCCCTAAATACATTTTCTGGCTCCGCCACTGGCCAAATCTAAAACATAAACTATCCTAACCGGGTCATCAAAAGACCGATATTTTATGTGACCAACCATATAAGACAACTCTCTCTAATCTTATCTTCCACTAGAGCTACTCCACCTTATCACGTATATGCTCGTTTTATATTTTGTTTCTAAGAGTAAGGCCACTCATTCACCTTAGCATCCTCATCTCTGCAACACTTAACTTAATTGTATGTTTCTCTTTTAATGGCCAACATTCTGTGCCATAAAGCACTGCAGGTCTCACCACCATCTTATAGAATTTTCCCTTAAGTTTGAGGAGTACTTTTCTATCACACAACAGACTCAGTGCCTTCCTCCACTTCAACCATCCAAATTCAAGTTTACCTTCAACTCCCTCTCTAGTCTATCAACAAGAAGAATATCATCAGTAAAAAGCATACACCATGGTACATCCTCTTGCAAATGTCTGGTAAGAACATCATTACTAAAGCAAAAAGATATGGGTTTAAAGCTGATTCGTGATGTAATGCAACTGAAATAGGAAAATACTTGGTCAAACCACCTATATTTGAACAAAAGTAATAACTCTTGTATACATATCCTTAATTACTTGAATATAATTATTATTAACCCCTTTCTTTTCTAGAACTCTCTATAGCACTTCTCTAGAAACTGTATCATAAGCTTTCTCCAAATCAATAAATATCATATGTAGATCCTCCTTGATCTCTCTATAGTTCCCCATCAAACCTCTCAATAAAAAAATCAGTCAGTAGCAAATGAGTGTTCTCTATAAAATATAAAGCTGATGGCGCACTGGAAAGATACAAAAGCAAGACTAGTGGCAAAAGGGTACACTCAGACATATGGCATTGACTATCAGGAAACCTTTGCACCAGTAACCAAGATGAACACTATCAAAATTCTACTCTCAATAGCAGCTAAGTACAATTGACATCTGGAATAATTAGATGTAAAAAATGCATTCCTACATGGG